TTTTGAGCCTATAGTATTTTCTTCTGATTCAACCCTAACCAAGGATCACCCTCCACACTGGCGGGCAATGTAGAAGAAATCTGCTCACATTAGTGAAGACATCAATCCAAAGGAGTTACCAAAAGGTGAACCAGATGTCAAGTGCAAAGATTCAATCAGAATAAAAAGGGCAAAAAAGAAGAAGCAAAAAACAAAAGCAAAAAAAAAAAAGAACAAAAAGAAAAAAGAAAAAGGGACAAAAAGCACATGCAAAGATTCCCTAAAGACAAATAGCACATCAAGCTTCAAAATTGATCAAGCACAATCATTCCCGAATCACTTCACTCGAAGATCATAGAGCATCAAGAGAAAGAGACATTTTGAGCAAGACAAGATTGAAGGCATCAAAATGAATTGATCCTTGGTTTAACACCCTGAAACACTTGTTTGAGCCTATTTATCTTTTTCTTTCATAACCATGAACACTGGCCTACATTACGTGCCTTAAAAATCCTTTCTAATCATACATGGATTTCTAAACAGGAGAGACTATCTTCATATTTCATCCCGCCCGTCAGGATTAATCTTTATTTACGAAAAACAATGTCTTTAATGCATGATAGAGAAAAATAACTAAGGGGTTCAAGACGTAAATTCCGAATGACGTCTTGAAACCAAAGGAGGGTTCGAGTTGAAAACCTGAAAAGGCGGCTCGAATATAAAAATTGTGCAATTGAGGCGATCACACAAATTCCTTGATAAGGCATCGCATCGGAGAACACTTCCAGTAGAATAGTATAAAAGCTACCCCAACAAACCTTTGAGCATCCAATGCCAAACCTTTGAGCATCAAATGAACAAAAATGCCAAACATTTGACCAAACACAATAACCTGAGACTTTTTTATCCTTTCCTTACTTAACCATTTCCCAAAGATAGCTTTGATCTTGGCACTTGTCAAATAGCTATAATTTATTGAAGGATTAACATTATAATTAATTCTTTGATATCCAATGAACTCTAGTTTTATCATTCGTCTCAATTGTAAAACCGTGAAAGGGACAATATTTTCAAAACTCTTGATTAAACATTTTTTTGAAACTCTTTTTGATATTTTCAGGACTTTGAAAGTAAAAGAGAAAGAAAAACATTTTTTTTAAACAAGACAGTCTCTCTAGAGTGGATCTTGGTAAATGACATGTGACTCTTAGACATAAAACTCATGCTTGGAATCAATGTTGAAGCAAGAAATGATGAACATTTGGGGCATCTTTGAGGATTCAACATCAAATATTAGGGCATTTTTGGATATTGGGGCATCGTTGGGGATTCAACAACCCAATGCAAATTATCAGACCTTTTTCAGGAGATAAAACAGAACCAATTCATGTTACATGCATCTTATGCATACATTTTAGAGCATCATATCTATCATTTTTTCCACATACATAATTTTTACAGCTTTTAGAGTCAAGTTTCGACTTTAAGACGAAGGATACTCGATTCAAAAGCACCTTTAGAGATTGATGTTGGTTGTTTAACTCAGCAGCAAGAAGCTACATTTCCACCAACTCGACAGATTGAAAATGTTGACATTCATCTTCGGACTCAACATTTTCAATATAAATTTTGTCTCGCTTGAGACAGTCTCATTTAACGCAGATGATTATCTCACTTGAGATTGTTTTTCTTAAAACAAGATTTGTCTCGCTTGAGACCGTTTTCACTAGAAGATTTTATCTCGCTTGAGATAGTTTTTCTTGAAACAAACTTTGTCTCCCTTGAGACAGTTTCTCTTGAAACATCTACTTTGAAAATGGTTTCCCTTGAACAAAATATTTGAAATATGTTTTCCTTAAAACAAATTTTGTCTCCCATGGGGCAGTTTCGCTCGAAACAACACATTGTGCTCGAGAGTAGATTTCAACTTCACGACGGAGGATATCTAACTCGAAGCCAAACTTCACAACAAAGGGGTCTCCACGGTTTCAACTTCACGGCGAAGGGAATCGTGTCCACCCGCAACATACAATACTTGGATTTCAACTTCACGACGAAGGATATTCAAGTCAAGGCTCAACTTCACGACGAAGGGGCCATCCGTAATTTCAACTCCACGACGGAGGATATCGTGCCACTCGAGACAGCTCAAGTTCAACTTCACAACAAAGGGGCCGCTGACTGTCAACAAACAATTTCCCAATCCAATTTCAACTTCATAGCGAAGGATATTGGAATTCAAGACAACACAAGTTCAACTTCACAACGAAGGGGCCGCTGGTTGTTAACAAAAATTTCCCAGTATCAGACAACACAAGTTCAACTTCACAACGAAGGGGCCGCTGGTTGTCAACAAAATTTCCCAGTTTAAGACAACACAAGTTCAACTTCACAACGAAGGGGCCGCTGGCTGTCAACAAACAACTTCCCAATTTCAGAGCCAATTTCAACTTCACAGCGAAGGATATTGGACTCAAGACAACACAAGTTCAACTTCACAACGAAGGGGCCGCTGGTTGTCAACAAAAATTCCCCAGTTTAAGACAACACAAGTTCAACTTCACAACGAAGGGGCCGCTGGCTGTCAACAAACAACTTCCCAGTTTCAGAGTCAATTTCAACTTCACAGCGAAGGATATTGGCCTCGAAACAACGCAACTTGCAATATCCAATTCTCAGGCTCAACTTCACGACGAAGGAGCCATATACAATTCCAACTTCACAAACAGATTGACCCAACTTCGCGACGAAGGAGTCATCTGTAACACCACAACACCACAGTCTTCAGATCAAGGGTCACCTTCACGACGAAGTACCTTGAACTAGAAGATGATTCAGAGGCCACTTACCAAAAGCTCCGAGTTCAATTTCAACTTCACAATGAAGGATTTTCGGGCTCAGTTTGAACTCAACCTCACGGCGAGGGAGTAATTATGTGATTTAGTCCAATTATCGGATTTCAACTCTACAACAGAGGATATTCGATGAGACTCGACCCTTATATGGATGATTTTAAATTTGGATACACTTGTGGTAAACGAAAAGTGTGTCTTTTAATCTTTGCCCTATCCCCGTTACACGACTATGGGCAAAGAGGGGCAACTGTAGACACACTATTTCGTCCCATATATCGTGCCTTTACAATACATTATATTAAACATATATTATATATTATTTATTATTTTGTTACACGTTTCAGGTCAAGAACCGGTGGCCCAAACAAGGCCCAGCAACCCACGATCCACATCAGATTAGGGTTTCCAGAGACCCTAATCTCATCTCATCCAAGCCACCGCCGCATCTCCAAGCCTCACGGGTCCTCATCTCCGAGTTTCACGGCGCACGTCTCTCGCCTCCAACAACTCCGAAGCGTCCGACGCTCGTCACCAACAACCAACACAAGTAGAGTTCGATTAGGACTCAAACAAGGCTAAAATAGAGTTTATTTGTATTATAAATAATAAGCTTGTAAACCCAGCAAAGGGGGGGTTTTGGAAAGCAACACATAACCAAAGGGGAAAACGAGAGGAGATCATTCGAAAAGAAAAAAGAACAAAGGCATAGAGTTACTTTTTGAGGAAAAATCGAACAAAGGGAGGGAGCAGAGAGAAAAAGAAAAAGAGAACACAGACCAAAAACATACCAAAAAGGACGGGAATCTTACCTCTAAACTCAAAGACCCTTGATTCACCGGAGCCAAAAGAATTCAGAACATCAAGGGCGATGATTTGGATATGCTTTTCGAGGCAGTGAAATATTGATCCGCCTTCTGATTTGTCATCATCGATGAGGCAAAGGATCGGTTTGAGTTCCTTTCTAATGAGGCATCATTGATTTCCAGCGGGCCTACAACACTTGTGCTCTTCTTTCTTTTTTTAAAAAAGCATAATAATGCTTTATTGCCACAGGCAGTACCATTTGGAATTTAGTGCATCCCTCTCTCTATTTTTCAAGTAAGTGGCGTAAGATGTGATTTGGTTCAGCTGGGGACAATTGCATGTTTTGTCCTCTCTCTTTGTAAGCCTTATATTCCAACTGTGTTTGCAAATTTGATTCCTTTTATTTCAAGCTACTTAATATACTTTCAGTTCATTATAATCACCAGGGTCATGTTATTTGTTTATTCTGATATGGATGTTCTATTTCATTTTGCTTTAATTCGGCCATCGATTTTTATTCTTTTTCATTTCAGTCACTGATTTCATATATAATATATTATTACTAATATTTGATTTTCATTACTATATTTGTAAATATTTTATTTTGGTCATTTTTTATATATGGTTTAATTATTCCCCTAACCTTTTATTCTTTTGTTTTTGCAGTTTTTTTAGCATCCCTCTGGTCCATAAATTTTTATTTATTTTAATATGATCCTTTAAACATTTTTTTGTTTACTTGTAATTTCAATATGTTTTCTTTTCATTTTCTTTACTATTGTTATTTTGTATTTCTGATTTATATCTTTTTTATTTTCTTTATCTTTATTTTTCTTATTTTTTCCCTTTTTTTCCTTTCATTTATTTAACATTAATTTATTTATTTATCTATTTTTATCTAACATTGTTTTAGGGATAGTTTCAATCGATCAAAGGTAATTAATTTGAATTGAATCTTTAAGTTTTAATTTACATTTTAATTTTCGCGATAAAGACAACTGGAAATTACACAGTACCGAAAGGGCAATTCAAGGGTGCTAACCCTTCCTTGGTTGTAACTGACTCCCGAATCCGACACATCTTTGGTAAGATTCAGATCAGGTAAAAAATAAGGTATCCGATCAACCTGTTTTTAAATAAATGGTCGGTGGCGACTCCCAATCCACATTTTTTAAGTCGAAGCCCGATTCCGGGGCTCAACCGAAAGACGGTCACGACAATAATAATAATAATATAAATTGATATCACTATAATTCAAATAAACAGATGAATTAATAGATAAACAAATAAACATCATCTATAAAAAAAAATATGCCACTTTCAACTCTAAAAAATATGAACTATAAAAATATAAAAAATCATTTATTATTAAAAAGTTTCATTAAAATAAATAACATAATCACAAATCACAATAAGACAAACAACATATTAAACCAGGAAATTAAACCAGAATCATAATATAAAGAATGAAAGCCTAAATCTCAAAATCATAAAATAGCGACCACTAAATTAATATTATTTTTAATAATTTAAGATAATATTTATATAAAAATATTTAATTATTCGATAATAAACACTTTAATATATTTATAAATTTCATGTTAAAAACTAAAATCTTTTTAAAAAATAACAATTATCTCTTTAAATACTTAAATTTCTTAATTTGTGCATAAAGTAGCATTAGATGACGTAGAATGTATACAAGACAGGCAAAGTATATAAAAATTCAATGATACGAAATAAATGATTAGATAAAGTCTCGTACCTAATCACGCGGTGCAATATCCCGCCGCCCACCCCAGGCTAAAAGTACAATGCACGTAAGTTCCTGATTTTATAACGGAATCCTCTGCTTATATTGATCGTTCTGTCCCACACGTTATCTTCTCCAAACAAAGACACAACAAAATTCCACGCTCTTGTCTCAATAACGGTCAACTTCTTCTATAAATACTCTATCTTCCCAAATTCATGCATCAATCGAATCAAAAGAAAACATGGAAGCAACCATTTCTTCTCTTCGTTATTCCTCAACTTCAGCTCTTTTCCCACCGCGTCCGTTCTCCGGAAAATCTAAAACGGTAATCATCAGATCAATGGCGTCGAAGAGATCCGACCCGTACAATCACGATTTCGACGGGAAGCTTGTAGACGAGAGCATGATCGTGTTGAGAAAGCGGATTCGGGAGATAAAGACGGCGGAGGAGAGTTACGAGCCGCCGCGGAATTGGACGGAGTGGGAGAAACAATACAAGAGGGAGAAGTACGACGTGGATGTTTGCGAAGCGATGGGGAGTTTACAAACGAAGTTGATGGAGACGAGGCCTGGCGTTGCTTTGGGAATGGGAGTTCTTCTTCTGTTTAGCTTACCCACTTCAATGGCGGCTGTTTTGTTTCATGTCATGGCTAATTGGCCAAGATAAATACTTACTACTGAAGTTTTAGCTGAACTATTTTTACACTTCCATTTAATGTAATATACTTTTGCTGAAAAATATTACTCCTTATAACTATTCTATCCATTTTCAATATATTTATTTTTTATATATTATATTAATCTGATTTTAATTATTAGATTTTAATAATTACGTTGTATCATTTTAGTAATAGAACATAGAAGAAAATATAAATTAAACGGACCTAGTGCCTCATCCCATTGACCAACCGATTGATGGTAAATTATTTTTATATTTATTATTTATATGTAATTATTGAATTAAGTTGTATAAATTAATTAATAATCTTACATTTAATCTACAAATTGAAAATGAAACTGCATCACACATAACTAAACATAAATATAAATTTTGCAAGCATAAAACAAATTCTTAATTTAACTCAATTATCAAGTGTTGAATTGTTTTGCTGTTATTGCTGACCGTTGCTCTAGAAGATGTTACTATTCTTTTATGCTTTTTATTCTTCTAGTGAAAGCAGTTTAACAAGTTTTTGTAATAATTTAAATAATTATAAGATTATATTTATTTATTAAAAAATTATATATATTTTATAGATTAAGCTATTTAAATATAAAAAGAATAATATTTTTTATTAATGAGATCAGTTTAATAGTTAAAATAAATATATCAACAGTGTCACCATTGGTAATACCTATTAGCTAATTGTTGGTACTATTATTTTATGTATTTAAATTTATTATAATTTTTAATTAAATTTAATTAAATCAAATATTTTTAAACTACGATTTTAATTTTAAATTCTTTCTTATACGGATTATCGTCATTAAGGTATTATTGTAGTTGATTGTCAGTACCGGTTCTCATACGGGGCCCAGCCTAAAGTCCAACTACACTCCGCAAGCCCAGACCCACCAGAACAACCTTCCAACCTCAACAGTCATATCTCAGGTCTTCATCTTTTTGCCTTCATGAACAAACATAAAATTTTACGTTGAATATGAACTTAAAATATTTTAAAGATTAAAAATAGATTATCAATAAAAATATTTAAATTATTTGATAATTTAATTTTTTTTAAAGAACGATCGCTTCTTCAATTCCCTCTATCTATTCATGTGTCATTTCTTATAGTTTGCTTATTCAACTCGTATTGCCCACTGTTTCGGTGTCTCTATAGTTTGCTTATTCAAGTTTCATTTTCTTCTGTTGAAGTATCAGGAGACTCGAAATTAATTGGTTTCTCAATCAGACGAAGAAAATGAAATTTCAATCGTGCAAGCTCAAGCCCCACGTAGTTAGCGTAGGTTGATAGTCGACATAAATAAACCGAACAAACCAATAATACAATACGTTTCGCAGATTGCGAAGATCAATGTTGAATTATCAAAGGAAATATACATTGAAAGAGAGATCCAAAGTATGTAGTGTGTGTGTGTGTGTGTGTGTTCCGTTGTTCAGTGTATAGAAACATTAGCTGCAAATTCAAGTGAATTTGCTTACTTTGTTATCATATGAACACATTTATAAAGAAGCAAATGTACATTTATTTTCCATGACTAATATATTAAGCACAATTCTTATAGTACAGACTACAAACCAATAAAGATTGTAAAGAAGCAAATGGATCAGAACTGAGGTATGGGATGACATGGTAATCAATGTATTAATTTCATTGGCCGAGACTTGAACTTGTAACCTCTTTGCAGCACTTGAGTCTGTGATGCACGCTTATTGATCTAAAATCAACCTTCATGTGCTTGGCATTGCATATATTCGGAACATCAGCATGTACCGTCCATGTAATTTACCAACAATTCTTGAACCATGCCTCGATCAGGCATCTTCCCTGCAGCACCGTATATGGGCGCTAGGCCTCCGCTTATAGGCCCTGGATTTTCTTTCACCTGACACAAAACAATAACACAAGTTACTCTGAAGTACCAGTAAGCAAGATTATGTCCCCTGATGGCCGATGAACTATTTGGTTGTTGATTGACAAGAAAGACGAGTTTGTGCTTACAGTTTGCACGGCTTCCTTCAAATCATGGAGGAAGGTATCAACAACTGGTACATGTTGAAGAGTGACACAGATATGAAGGCTGATTCAAACACATCAAAGAAAAGAATCTCAGTCTCCTATTAGAGACATCGCTAAAAAGGTTAAATTTCAATACAGATTCTAACTTGAAGACAACCGTATACAATACACTACTACAACCTACGGAAGAAGCTAAAATTCACAATAAATGGGAATTCAATTCACCACAACATCAAAAGAAAGAACGAGGTACTGGAGAGTGCTCACCTGTTGGGCCTCTGCAATGCATTCAAATGCCAACCTTTGCCAGACATGATATCGTTGACTTCAAATATGTCTAGAACAGAAGATCCAAATGCCACTAGTGTCATGTCCGGCTTTCCAATGATAAACAACTCAGAAATCTCCTTTATCCTACAATTGAAGTGGCAGTCATTCTATATATCTCAAAATTAAGGAATTCGGTATAAATAAGTGAAACAAATTCGAACCCTTTCTCAATCATCTTTGATGCTTCCATGATTTTTCTTGTATTCTCCAAATAGCCTACGAGTTGTTTTGGAAAAAATAATAATTAGCCCAAAAACAGAACACCGGACAACAGGGTAGATGACCATTTCATAGCTTCACAGATTAATTTTGCTACCTTCTTGTCCTAGAGCCATCATCGCTGCCCAAGCTCCAGCAATCAACGCTCCAGGCCTGCTTCCAGCTATGGTTGGAGACACATATAGCCCACCCGACCACTCGGTAACTATCCATGGACAATAAATAAAAAAATATATAATTAACCAGATTCTTGATGCAGAGAACTGCTACTGCATTTCTTACACGAATTAAGAATTAATACTAGCATCCGAAGAATCTATCAATACAGTATCTGCTCGTTTTCAAAGTAACCCTCCCTGTTAAGCCAAACTATTGCTTTCCAGTCTTAAGTAACCCTCCCTGTTATACCAAACTATTGCTTTCCAGTCTCAATTAACCCTCCCTGTTATACCAAACTATTGCTTTTCAGTCTCATCTTAAATGTTTAGATGTCCCCAGACAATCGGAAATACTGTCCTAGAAGCAATCTGCTTCCTCGGTTTTAGATGTTTGAAACAACCCTAAGCATCTCCCTTTCCACCCTTCTTTCCCATCTCAGGTTCATTTCTATTTTTTCTTTTCTTTGACAGTAGAGATTCTACTAACCAGCTACAAATTGATGCTGTTGGAGAATGGTCGACAAAGAAGTCCAGCATAATATTTCGTAGCCACCAATCAAGATGACATGAAAAGAAAAACATATCGTAAAGAACTTGATCAGAAGTGTAAAGTTAACATGTTAAACAAATATTTGAGATAAAACCTACAAATTATCCAATTTTATCAGAAAATTAATCATGATGTTTCTATTCAAGTTTATGTGAACACAATGTGCGTAATCAAAAGGCAGAATCCAAGCAACAAAAACACATATTACACATTACACATTACAGAACTTGTACATAAAATTTACGGTTACCAATAGAGCCTAATACATCCAAATCACCAATTTAAAATTTTTACTTCAGCAACTAGACATAATCGAATAATAGAGCTAGAACAATGATAATGTTGTTCACAGAAAACCGATAGATACCTTTCTAATTTCATGATTTCTGTAAAGAACTATGCTTGTTCCTTTAGGAGCCAGCCCATATTTATGCACATCAGTTGAAACTGAAGTTACTCCCTTAACAGTGAAATCAAATGGTGGAATTGGGTACCTGAGAGGAAAAGGGTGTAAAATATAACTATATAACCAAACAAGTTGTAGCCAACATTCCTGATAGAGATGGAACAGACACATAGAGCTTAAGATAAAAAAAATGGAAAAGGTAAATTGATACGATCATAGAGAAATGACGAACAAAGTGGCAGCCCAATCTCATAAAACAGTTTTCTAATTGTACCTAATTGCAGGTTACACAGATAACACCATCAACTCAATGGCATGAAAAACTCGATTATAGACATTCTTCATTGAAGGGGAAAGTGATGTCAATCAAAATGAAGGCACTTTTCGAGAGTAAAATCACCTTAGCACATTCAACAACAGTAAGGGAGATAAAGCCTCCATTACAGAGAAAAAACTTCTTCAGGATAAAGTGAATAACCAGATAGTCATTGAAAACTAAAACTAATACAACAGACAGGCATCAATTTTGAAAACACTTTAGCAATGACCTAAATAAACAGCTTCTTAACTACATGCCTTTAAAGAATCTTCATTCAAAGGGGAAAATGATGTCAATCAAAGTGAAGGCACTTTTCGAGAGTAAGGTCACCTTAGCACACTCAACAACGGTATAAGGGAGATAATTAGATAAAGTCCCACTTACAGGGGAAAAGACAACTACTTCAGAATAATGTGAATAACCAGTTGGTCATTGAAAGCTAAAATTAATGACCTGAGCAAACAGTTCCTTAGTGAGGGAAATTGACACCAAATCAACAATAGACACAACATGCCTTTAAAGAACAAGAACCAAACATACAAGATGACAACCACAAATCTAATATCTTAGTCCATGTTGAAAAGAAAATAAATAATATAATTCCATACAACTGAGAGTTCAGAAGCATATACCCGAGTTTACGAGCAAAAGGCAAAACAAAGCCACCAAGACAAAGGTCAACATGGAAACAAATTCCATAGCTATCAGCCAATTTACCTAGCTCCTGCGGGAAAGATTATATATTTTATCAGTAAGGTCCCAAGCAAAAATAACATTAAGAAATTACATTTAAATGCTCTTCCTACCCTGATGGAAAAAGCAATGAGCAGTGGCTTACCTCAATAGGGTCAATGATGCCATGAGGAAACCCAGGTGCAGATCCAACAATCTGCAGAATCATAAGATTTTTGTCAGGCCAACTTACAACAAAGAACTTAGCTGCATATAAGATTACTGAAAATAATAGACAATTATACCATTATAGTGTTTCTGTTAATATGCTGTCTGATTGCTTTCACATCTGCTTTGAATTCCTTATTGACAGGGACACGACGGAGCTTGATGTTAAAATACTGTGCTGCCTTGTCATATGCTGAATGAGCAGATTCAGCTATTACCCTATGCTTGGGAATAGGATAATTCAAATTAATAAAATTGGTAATGATAATAAATTTATGAAATAATTTAATTAAATGTAAGGGAAAGCGCACATTTCTGGCTTTGTAATCCCCTTCTTCATCTTCATGTAATCCCGAGATGTTTTCACGGCTAACAGTATGCTCTCAGTTCCTCCTGATGTCATGTTTCCACATATTTGTCCTCCAGAGGCTTTCTCTTTACTGCCAAGTAGATCCGCTGTCATAGCGACTACTTCAGCCTCAAATCGCCCCACACTCTGGAACACATCTAAATGTAATGGATTGGTATGCGCAAACCTGAAAATAGTCAACATCATTATTTAAAGATGTGTAACTAAAAGCAGAATGGGGCAGACATCATTTCTTCAAAGTTATAACAGAAACAATATATATATATATATATATATATATATATATATATATATATATATATATATATGTATATAGAAAACAATATAAAATTTTAACCGGTGCAAATAGTGTAGTTTAACACATTTTCTTGTAAACCAATATATTGTGAAGTAATTTTATGCAACTTGCAATCCAATCAAGCTAGTTTATTGCAGATAGTAAAAGATTAGAGATGTTCTTAGGAATATAAAATAACAAAAAATTTGGGATATCTTACTGACATTGAACATGCCTCGTTGATCAAAGAAAAATGTCCTTCAGATTCACTTCCACCAATATAGCTGGACCGAAGTAAACCCGCAACTTATCAGTCTCAAGCACAATTCAACAAAAACTGATATTTACATTTGATGTAGCAAAACAAATTGTTTCCAAGACAAAATTATAAACATACACTGTACCGGAGCATTTTCCTTGCCAATCAACATCCTTGCTTTTTGCGTCTTTCATTTCTTCTATAATACCTGGTCCAAAACCTGTGATTGGTAATTCTGTCCTCCAGTCTTCTCGTTTGGATTTGCTACCAGATTGCAACTTGTCCACAACCTGCATTGTTCAGCAGACCGGTACATGTAACAAATTATACTCATAATAATTGTGAAGACTTAGAAGATTTTAATCATTTAAGACAAAATGTACTTAGACCTGATTGAGTGGTGCACAAAATTTTGTAAACAAATTTTTGAAAATAAAGCTGCGTGAAACAGCTAGAGAAGAAATTAGCATTCTAGTTCTACAAGCAAGAACATGAGTGTTTCTGCAACATGTAAAAACAACGGTCTTCTGCATAATTTCGTCCGTCAGGGATTTAAAAAAAACAACACTCTTGATAAACAAGAGAGAATTCCAACATTTTTCTCTCTTATAGCCTCTTACAGTTTAAAGAAAACAGTACTCATGCTTAGTTCAAAGTTCAAACAAAGACCCAGTCCGTTTCCATCTTGAAAGAAACCAAAAAAGCAAACAAGTGCTGCACTACAGTCTCACAACCCAAACTGCAAGCCTTTTTATCTATTTATGACTTCCTTATTA